TAATACAAAGCATTTTTTGTGCCCAATCGGGAGCCAGCATTCGCTTGACCGTTTGGAAATAGTCCGGTGAGAGTCGGTACCCAGGGGCTCTTCCGCCCATGCTTGAAACTTTCGTCGCGCCTTTTCTCCCAGCCGGACTTACTGCCCCTGGGTCCCCGAGGATGTATTCACCTCCTAGCGAGTGGATTATGTGTGAGCTCGGTTTTTTTTCCCATTTTCTACACATAGAGAAAGATCTTTTAAAAGTCGACAAAATCCTAGGGTTGACTTTTTTTCAGGCAAGAAAAGACTTCGAAAGATTCAAAACGGCGTTTTTCCATTTACTGTAGTTGAGTTTGGTAGTCGATGGATTGTTTACAACTCCCGTTTATTCGCCTAGAAGAAACCGTTTCGTGAGCTCAGCGTTTCCTAACAAGAAAATTTGGCTCAAAAACGAAGTGTATTTAAGACAAACAAATTTGAAAGCAAATCGCAAATGTTTGCAGAAATTTTACCTTTCAAGTAAATAGGAGAAAGAATGCTACATGAAGACGAAGTAAGTCTTACGTCGAGGAACCGAATCGCCATTTTTGTCAGCACTTCATGCGAAGAACGACACAACAAAACTTTTCGGCTGTAAACTTGGCGAGTCAACAGAAAACAACAAAGCTCTTCTTTTCTTCTCAGGTAAGGAAACAATTCAAACTTTTAGCGGTCCATTTAAGTTATTACGCTGTTGTTTGCGAAGTGATAAGCTTGTGAATTGCCATGTTTGAAAATTCTACAAAGAGTTAAACTTTCGCGTGTCTAGCTGACCTGATCTGTCAATCAAATCGTACTTTTTAATGGTTTCCTCTCTGATTTTGCTGAGATCACTTCGTGTGTGTATATTAAAACAATTATTCTTTTCAATCTCGGTGAATAGTGGCTTTAGAAATATTTACCTCGCCACTTCGTTGCTCGGTAAATATTTAGCCACTATTCACCTCGATTTCAAAGAATAATTGTTAAATATTTGACGCAAATTTGTGACTAGTCCTAATAAAAATGAGTTTATTGACAGATGAACTGAAAGAAAACGTGGAAATTAAGGATCCCTGCAGTGCGTGCACGAAAATCGACCTTGCGGCTCGTAATGATCCATAGATATCTCAAAAAGAAATATAACTTGCGTACACAATATACAAGCCACTTAAAATCTCGAAAAAGTTGTGATCTGTTTTAAAAAAAGACAAATGCATTCCAAATTAAAACGACAAGCACAAGATTCGTTTCTAGGCAATTTTTCTGTGTGTAAAGAATTACCACTTTGTGATGAACGTATGAATAATACGCATTGACAGTTATTTACATCATATTACATACCGTTTTATGCCGTTCATTTCTCTGTAACAGCTAAGAAATATGGCAAAAACACCAAGGCTGTTGCTTGTTTTATTGTCTCTCCGAAGGAAAAGGCTGGTAAAATTAATGGTTATCACTATCACATTGTTTACTTTATACCAAACATTTACCGTAAGCACGGAAGGAGGCATACCTCTGATTTTGAAATTTCCAGCTTTTAATCGTGATCAAAACTCATGGGGAAAGTCTTTATTTGATGTTGAAAATAGTGATCGCAAGCTCAATTTATCTGGCCTTAACGCTCATGTCTGGTACGACATCTGCCCAACTTCAATCAAAGCCTTTTGCCACCACCCGTTCTTTCCCGAACAGCCAAACGAGAGAATATTTGCCAAGCAGCTAAGCCTAACAAGAGGTCAAGACAATTATATTCAAAGAATTTTCGGGTTCTTACATCCCCCAAAGACAGGAAAATACAGATTTGCCATCGCTTCTGATGACATGTCAGAACTGTGGTTAAGTCCCAGTGAAGACCCTTCTGAGGCCATTTTAATTTGTAAAGTAGATGAGTGGGTTCCAAGAGGCGAATTTCAGCGCCATTGGTCACAAACCTCAAGCATAATAGAGCTTCAACAGCACCGTAAATACTACGTCGAGGTACTTCATGGTCAACTTGGGGGAGATGATTTTGTGGTCGTTGAATGGAGTTTGCCTGGCATGGGGACGGAGTTCAAACCAATTGACTTGAATGATACTTCCTTGTTTGTTGACGACATCAATACTCCGCACAATTACCACACGGAGATCTCAAGCGGTGCATGCGAATCAAGACCCCATCATCAACACAAGAAAAATAATTCTGTCAATCCCTTGCCAGAGTATCTTTCCCATGAGACAGTAGCAAATGTTCTTCCTTACTGTAACTACACACCAAGCTATCTAACTAAGATGGAGATAACCGCTGACCAGCCTAAAAAGTTCTATAAATTTCTGGACAGTCATTATTTTCCTGTGGATAGTTTTCCTCCAGTGGAATACGAAAACGTGGCCAATCCAATGTATGCGAATCATGAGCTTGATGTAATTGAAGCACAAAAGGCGGCAAGGCTTTTCATGGATAGCCTTCATCTGCACTACCCTGGGCAAGTATAAGCAATAATACTCACTAAGGCATATGTCAAGCTGACTGCAGCCGGCTGCAGCTCTGGTCAGTTCTGAGGCCTTTTTCTCCTCCCTGAATGTGCCAGCTTACGAAAGCTATTTTAGTGAACATCTGTCTTGAAGAGACAGCCTGGATCACACCGCTTCTTCATATTTTAAAGAAAGCTAGAGTTACCCTAGTGCTACCCCACAGGGGACGTTGCTAGTGCGCTGAAAACTTCTCTTCTTGTATGAATCGGGCCATTGTCTAGTTACTTTTTAGCCACACCTTGGAGTAGGCACTTTTACTCTTTTTTCTCACAAGATTAAGAGTACAATTTATCTGTAGTTTTCCCTCGACATATCTTCAAAGTTTTCTGTTAAACGTTTTAACCTTTCTGGTGAACAATAGGGCCATTTATACGAGGAAAAATAAGACGCGTCTTAAATAAGACGTGAACTGTACCGTTTATACGAGCATGTCTTATCTAATAAGACGCGTCTTAGCTAAGCCGCGTCTTATTTTAGACGAAATGTGCCGTTTATACGGAAATTTCGCGTCTTATTTAAGACGCGTCTTATTTTTCCTCGTATAAATGGCCCTAATGAGTTATTGTTCACGTAACTAAATGTCATTACCTGTCTGTAAAATCATTACAACAATATCAGATCAATTTTCAAAGCTTTCTTTCTCTTGTATCTCTTGCAGGAAATTCAAAATTCTTGAACTTTTCAACGTCGAAAGAAAACTCGATAAACAGTTAGGCAGCCGTTTCCTCTTGGAGTTTTTAGTAAAGGTTTCGGGACAAGACAAACCCGCCATGATTTCGGAATTCGTCTTTTTGCCTAAAGATTCTGAAAACTTGTGTTATCCCAAAGGATTGCAGTGGAATAGACAAGCTAAAGTGGCTTTGGTGATCTCAGCAAAAGACCAGGGCAGATGGTTAGCACACTTTCTTAACAACTTACAGGAAATGTACTCTGTAACTAGGGATGAAAATGTAGAAGTTGTGCTTTTCAATTATGAAAGTTCTGATATTAATTTAGAGAAAGAGCTTGCTCTGAGGACTCTACCCCCCTGCACGGTCATTAATGCTCGGGAAGAGCACTATTCTCGAAGCAAGTCTTTAAACAAAGGAGTTCAAGAGATCCAGGATCCACATACAATTATTTTTTCTCTTGATCTTCATCTGGATTTACCCATTTCACTGTTTGATGACATCCGAAAAGTAAGTAAATCTGTTTATGAGAAATTTCTGCAATTTGATTGGCTTAGAGCAGCGGTATTTCAGCTTAATTTGAAATACCTACATGTAAAAATTATAACCGTATGCCGGTAGTGGTATAAACAAATAATAGCATGATTTGTACGTGATATTTGGCGTAAATACCACTCGTGATATTTCAAAATTGTCTAAATTTTACTCGCCTAACGGCTCGTTAAATTTCGTATAACAATTTCGAAATATCACTCGAGGTATTTATGCCAAATATCACTATAAATCATGCCATCACCTATACTAAGTCTCCTCTGATCAATAATATTCACTAAATAGATAAGCTTGTTTCAAACGGAATGAAACGGGAAAAAACAGCTAACAGGCCCTTGTTCAAGATGTGGTAACGCTGGTAAATCACTATATCATGACGCCATATTGGTTTTCCCAATACATTGTCCATATGCTTATCACAGTGGGACACATTCTGACGTCATTTCCATGGCTTTCTAGTCAACTTAGACCAATCAGCGGCGGGGACAACACTCGTTTATTGTTAAAGACGATTTTACCGGTGAATAGTGATGAAAAACTCAAGTCAAAAAAGTAGCCTCGGATCACCCTGTTGGGGTGGGACCCCAGTGACAAAGTTGACATATTTTTAGCAAACGTCTGCGAACATTTGTTGGCAATTACAAATCGATTATTATAGAGGTTTCCCTCTAACTTCTTAATTTAATATCTATGGCATCGAGTTAGTGGGGCTGTTAAAACCGTATCTAAATATAATTTTTTCCTTCTCATGTACCGTACAGCACTGTTTTGAGGGACGTTCTGTGTACACTCCAGTTATCATCCGTTTAGGATGTGGCGAAACTCCTACGATGCCTAAAGGGAGATGGGAACCATTTGGATTTGGTTTGGTTGGTATTTACAAGAGTGATTGGGACCGAATTGGAGGTCTTAATGAGAAGCTTTTTGATACGAAATGGGGAGGTGAAGACTGGGACTTAATGGAAAGACTTGTAAGCGATAACATGGAATATGAACGAGTTCGACATCCTAAGATTTTCCATTACTATCACTCAAGACGTGGGATATGGACTGGTGACAAAGATTTAAACAGAAGAAAACGTTAAAAAACACTTACCGTATTTATTCGATTAACCGCCCTGGGCGCTTATTAAATTTTCAACATTTTCAGCAAGTGTAACATGGTTATTTTGCAACAAAGCAATAAATAGTAAAAACAAAACGCTAAGATGTAACAAAGCAAGGTTTCTGTAAAATACTCTGAAGAAAACTCCGTCTTCGGGGAAGTCTCCTATTAGTACTTATTCAATTTTTGGGGGGTGTGAGGGGAAAGAAGGTGGGGTGGGGGTGGGTGCTTATTCGAGGCTGGGCGCTTATTAACTTTTTCTGCCTTTAGGATGGGCGCTTATTCGAGGTGGGAGCTAATTCGAGGTTGGGCGCTTATTCGAATAAATACGGTAAATCGAATACTAACACATTAGGGTCCTTTATGTTGAATTACAAGCACTAGACTGGATAGCAATTTTTTTTAAACCAATTAAGTTTGAGTGCCTCTCACTAATTTTATTCCGAACGACTTTTTATGTTCTGGTTTTGGTCAGCGATTAGCCTGCGTAGCATGGCGGTTTTGGTTGGGCGCGCTAAGTAATAAGGGCGGGCGCGAATTTCGCGGCTACGCCGTTCGTGCGCCCGGCTCGACAAAACCGCCATGCTACGCAGGCTAGTCAGCGATAGGACTGCGTGTGAGTTCTGGAAAAATAGCAAGACTGCAATCTCCCCACCGTAATAAATTTGGTAATACAGCAGCGTGTAAAACTAGAAAACGTTTAACGAAACGCTAAAACGTACCCATTTTTTGCTATGAATGAAAGAAAAAATAGGATAGTCTGTGATATAACGATATCAGATGCTTAGAGTTCTATGCTTGAGGCGATATGAAATGCTTCTTTATGATTTTGAGTACGCTGTAACATAGTAGGAATCTCCCGTCGGTGCAACAGCATATATACTTTTGAAGTAATAAACGCTGTAAAATCCAAGAAGATACTGTCAGTGTTCTCATGTGTATTTTCGCCTGTCTGAGGAAAAATAATTGTGTTGGCAAAATTTTGGCGAACTGGCGGAAATGTGATTCTGCTTCCATGCCTCGATCACTCTTTTCCTTTGCCCGATTATAAGTAATAACTTAAAAATGGAAGTTCAACCTTTTCCATGAAAGATGTTGTTGAGTCCAAGCTGTTTGTTTCTGACTCCCCTGGTCACCCCACATTGAGGCATCTGAAGTTTTCCGAAGGAAAAATAAATGGAACTCATGCACTCAGCCACGAAACATTTATGTTAAATTTGTAGTCAAGAGATCCTCCAAATGCTGGCCTTTCTTCGTTTAACTGATTATAAAGTGTATCTACATTGCAGAAAGAAGGAAAAGCTAAAAAGTTCATCTGAAACAAATGTTTGAAAATATTGACCTTACTACAGTTATGAAACAACAAGAAAATCTTCTTTAGGGTTGTCTAAATAGTTACACGTAATACGACAGATATTTCAACGATACTCTGCAAACTTTAAGCATATGCATTATAGAGCGCACTAAAATAACCCTCTTCCTGCGGAGGAACCTCTCATTAAGATGGAGCTACATGGAGACCTTTGCTGCGCATAAATAATTCATTTCTAAATTAAAGGTAAACTTATTTTCACAAATAAAAATAATTCATTTGGGCAAATGAATTATCCATTCATAGCTGTCCAATCAGCCTTTTTTTTGTTTGAACGTTCATTTTTTTTTAAATTTTGACGAAAATAGTATCGCTAACTCGCATAATCCCTGAACCGTAATGTAAGAGATTTCTAGAGCTAAAAGCAACATGACATCAACGACCTAAAATAGCTTAGAAACTTTCAACGCGCTCGGTAAGCTAAAAATGAAACATGTCATCGTAGCTCATCGTAATTTAATGAAATTCCACCGAACTTTTTGTGAAATAAGGGCAGCAGCCGTGACATCATCGACGCTACTTTAATTTTGTTAATCACCGATCCATGCATTTTATTCATTAGGCAAAGACAAAAGGCTAAAACGTCATAAACGTCAATGCACTCCTTCGCAGATTAATGAGTATCCTTTGCTAAAAGATGGGGTTAATTTGATAGGCTTTATTTTTTAAGTGGCCTTGCATCAGTTTGCTTTCAAGTCGTTGCCCTGGTTAAAATCAGGCTCGGAAAGCCATCGCAAGTTTGCCCTTTCAACCTCAAGGTTTTAAAGACATTCAGTTTTAAAGTTAACGGGCGTAAGTGGTTTGGGAGCTTGAACGCGCCCTGCTTTGGTTTTGCGTCAAAACCTTCCCGGGATTTTCCAGAAACGGGCACTAAGTTCTCGCAAGAGTGATAAAGGAATGTTGCCACATTACTTACAAGTGCTCCTAAAATTTTCAGCTGAATAATTAAGCGATTCTTTAGATTTTAGCTAATTTATGCATGTTGCCTATTCCCATTCTGTCTTCACTCCTATTAACAGGAACCAGTACAATGGGTTCAACTGCAGCAGGTGTTTCCAGATAGTAATAAAATGTGGACATCATCATAAATACCAACATAATAACGAAAATCATGGCAGCAAAAAAGAAAAATTCCATCATTAGACTGCCAAAGAGGTGAGATTCTGCCTCGATGACGACTATCAGATTGCCGAATGCCACGGTCATCAGCCACGCAGCGTGAAGACAGGACTTCATGTTTGCGGGAGTTTGGGAATAAGCAAACTCTAAACCTGAAGGTTGAAGTATGAAGACAATTAGAAATATCAACAGGTCCACAACCATTGACGAAAACCCCAGACACTGACCTTTAAAGAAGAAGAATGTATGGAATGAGAATTTGGATTCTTGACTTAACTATCAATAGTAAATAATGAGTTGTTGTGTGAACTCGTACTATCTACGACACCAAATTGTGCTCTGGATTCGAGATACAAAAAAGGAGCTTTTATGTTGCTCAAACCCTACCATACTCCATCAAATAACAAAAGAAAGAAACCAGTAAGCGACGTTCTTACAAAGGCAATAAAGATAATTATTATTCATTCGAAATATTTCCCCGATTCTGATTGGCTAAAAGCACACGCATAATTCACCATAACCAGTTTCTGATGACCAAATTTGGAAGAATTTTGTGTTTAACGAGGAAATGACGTCAAAAATACAGCGTTCGTGCAAGACGAGACGAGGCTGAGTTGTTTTGGTTGTGAACTTGAAAAATGGCGGACATTTCACTCGTTTCAAGAGTAAGAACAAGGCGAAAAAATAACTAAAAATATGGCAAGAACAGCAAGAAGACAACTCGAAGGGCGACATCTGCTATTTGGAGAATATTTGCGGAGCTGGACAAACCTAGAAGTGCACTATCGAAGATGAACTTAACATCGATGGATCGATGGAGGTAAGCATGTTTTAGCCATGTTTTTAGACTAGGAATTATTTTGACTGAATAATAAAACAATTTTTGAATTCGGCTCTCGTATCATATGAAGACTTATGGAGATCTCGGAGGGTGTTGTCCGCCTCGGCCTATGGTCTCTACGGATAACACCCTCCTCAATCTCCATAGTTCTTCATAAGATACTCAGCCTCATTCAGTAATTGTTAATTAAAACCATCTTCTCGGTCAAACTGAATTGCTTTACCTAGTTTTTCTTTTTCTTGCCTTTCACTATAGTCATAATATTTACACAACAATAAACAATTTTATGTCAAGTTTATCTAGAACAGATTTGGGTAATTTGAAAATCTTAAGTTTACCATCTGTAGTATCAGATAACCAACGCGTCACGAACTTTCTTAATTCCTTGTTTTAACCTTTCCTACCCTTCCTAACAAAATTTCTATCGTTCCCAAAAGGGGATAATTAACAATTAATGAATGAGGCTGAGTATCTTCTGAAGAATTATGGAGATCGAGGAGGGTGTTATCCGTCGAGGCGGATAACACCCTCCGAGATCTCCATAATTCTTCATAAGATACGAAAGCCGAATTCAATAATTGTTTTATTATTCATTCAAAATTATTCCTAATTTAAAACAAAGCCAAAACATGCTTTCCTCCATCGATGTTAAGTTCACCTTCAATAGTGCACGTTTAGGGTTGTTCAGCTCCGCAAATATTCTCCAAATAGCAGATGTCGCCCTTCGAGTTGTGTTCTTGCTGTTCTTGCCATGTGTTTAGCTATAATTTCGCCTAGTTCTTACTCTTGAAACGAGTGAAATGTCCGCCATTTTTTGTTTTCGCAACCAAATCAACTCAACCTCGTCCCCAGGTCTTCTCGGTTAAAGGTGCATTAACCTCAAGCAAGAACGCTGCATTTTTGACGTCATTTCCTCGTTAAAAACAAAATTCTTCCAAATTTGGTCATCAGTAACTGGTTATGGTGAATTATGCGTGTGCTTTTAGCCAATAAGAATCGGGGAAATATTTTGAATGAATAATAATTCGGTTTATACTACACTACTATATAGGACCTATTCTTACAGTCAAAGGTATTTTTTTGGCTTATCATAGAATAAGCTGATTGGGTGAAACTGAAGCAAAAACGGACTGACAACGGCAGCCAATGGTGCATTTTATCAACTACCATTCCATTTATACTTTTTAATGATGCTATTACAACGTTATTTACCATGCAGAGCCGGAATGTTACAAGGTCGTAAATAAATTAATGATGCTCACCAGTGATGGAAAAAAGGATTTCTCCGCTTGTGATGACAAAATATTGTGGAATCTGATACAACATAGAGACGTTTCTAGCATCCAAATCTTTGAAGAGAAGAACTTCTGCTGGGTTTGCCTGATATTTCTTGTTTTCTTGTACCACAGCAGTATAGATTCCACCATTCTTTAGAAGAACTTCACTGGATGCATACACTTTACTGGATTTCCTCCCAACAACCGTCATTCTATAGCGATCTGCTGAAAGTACAATACAAACTGACTTCCCCAGAACTAAAACATTCTCTTGAACCCGATGCTTGTCAAGCAGGATATCAAATGAGTTGTCATCCGGTGGTAATGAAAAAAGAAGTGTGCACAATTTTGCTCTACCATGAGGGGGAGCCGGAGTAATGTTTTGTTTAACCATGTGTCCAATCATTTGATTTCCAACACCACCAATAACAAAGTTGTACCACTCATGTTCTTTCAAGTCAGGCTGATATGATAACGATAATTTCGACAGATGTTTACAGTCTGCGGGAGATGTGATCATGAGAGTTACGTTTTGTTTGACAGACAAATGCTGTTCAGAAGATTTATCCAAGGGATCAATAGTTATGTTCTTGTTTTCCAGAGTGATTGTCACAGGACATTGTAAAGTGTTGATTACTTGTAGATTGGCTTGCCCAGATGGTGGCGCATCTTTAATCATTTCTTCACTCTAAAAAAGCAAGAACGTGCAACGTCATCTGTAAAATACACTATACAATCAGTCTCGCATTGCAATTAAGGTCTGCTTGAACATAAAGGTGATAAAGTGAAATGTAACTGTAGAATGATGCTTATTTTTAAGCCGGTAACTCGTAGAAGTGATCATGTGACTGACAAACCGGAGTCGGACGGTGCTCCACTCATTGCTACCTCCCTTTCCATTAGTGCCCCGCTTGCCGTTTTTCCTCGATTAATCGTCTGCCTCGAATAATAGCCCCCCTTTGATGGAAATATTGAAAGTAATCGCCCCCCCCCACCCCTCTCGCCATCTTCTCTTTCTTTTATCCCCTCCCTGTCAAGTGGAAGTGGAATCCTGATCACTGACAATTGAAGCTCTGAAAATTAATCAAAGAACCAAAATTTGAACACTTTCAAAGCCCAAGTTCAGTTTATTTGATGACTGTTTTTTGATTAAACAAACAAAATAAAACAAAAACAAAATATTAAGGGCGTGCCTTCAATGAGAAATGTTTCCATTTATGTCCATAATACCATGGTTTGACATATAGATGCTATCATACATGCTATAAGTTATCATACCTGTATTTTCATCTGCAAAAAACCAGCAAAGACAAAAGCCACACAAGCAAGAAACATTCCAGCACACATCCTCTTGAGTGGGGTTGGTCTCTTGAAAAGGGGATACAACACACCCTCGAACAGCGGAATGAGAAGGATGATGAAAAGAGCATTGAAGGCTTGCATTTGATCTGGCTTAAACGTTCCCAAAAATCCTGAATGAATAGAAGGCGAATGATTGAATCATTTATTATCGTATGGTTAAAAAGCAAACGGCATAAGTGTAACACCTTGTTCCGCGGGCGGGGTGGGGGAGGATGGAGGTTGGGAAGGGGGGCACCCTTATTTTGCCTAAACGGGTATGTGCGGTCGAACAGAGTATGGTTTGTGGGGTCCCAAGTGTTAAACAGGAAGACAATTTTACAAAATGAGCAGTTTTTGTCTAAAAAAGGGCCAGCGTCTGAAGGTCTTGTTGGCGCACTCCCACGCAAACTCTGCTGGAAGGAAGTAAATCGTTGCAAAGTAAATTTATGTCTAAGGAGGTGGTGTTTAATGAATGCCATGCATGCATTGACTTATGTTCAGTGAAGGAGTGTAACCCCGCTAACGAGTTGAGCAGCATGCATTTCCAAAGCTCTAAACAACAGGACTTATGAAAATGTAATATAAATTGCAATATAGATATAGTATTAAATGAAAACAAGCATGGCTATCTTCGGATTGTAATACATTTATTCCTTTCTCAAAAACCCATTTGCGCAAACCCCTTTTCCTCTTTTACTCATTTCTCAGAAGAAGCGCTTAGAACATCAGAACCTGTTGGCTACTTTAGCTGATGAAAGAAGATTGGAGGGATATGAGCTTGGTCATTCACTAGCTAGGCTCATTCGGCAACACTAACCTGCATAACCATCCATTTGTTGTGCCTGCAAAACCCAGCGAGAACCCTGCTGATCAAACAGCGTCCAAAAGACAGGAAGAGGAAGAAACATGAATAACACTTTACACAGAGCTTTGATGTCTTGAATCAACTGTGCGTCATATGTATCACCAGCCCAGTCCATCCAATGTTCCTTTGACTCTCCCTAATGGAAAAAAATGTGATAACTCAGTTATCACTCAATGCTTGACGACCATAGTCATTACCACAGTGAATTTGCTGTTAACTTGATAACTGAATTCTATAATACTCAATTTCTTTGCGATGTGTTGCAATACAACTGCCATCATAGTCCACCTAACTGTGGACGAACCAAGTTTTCCGACAAACAATCAAACTTAAAGATAATGTAGTATATAGTGCCATTCTCTTGACTTATATCACGAGAGAGAGCACAGACAGGAGAAGTACATAGTGTTGTTACTGAGTGTTACATTTAGCTTAGTTTGAGGAGTGTTAAGGTGATGTTACACGGACAATTCGCAATACGGCTTCTTAATGTTGGAACAATGTTGCGCCCATCCGAGACTATGCTGTAACTGTGTTGCGCTAAAAATCGTCATCGCGTATCGTCCCGTGTACTATCACCTTTACAAGCCCTGATGGCGGTTTTCTACGATGCAATCTGCATATCTGTATATATTTTACTTTGGTTGTAATTTTCTTTTTAAGTGCGTAGCTGATAACTTTAGTCACTTTCCATATCATGTTACCAGTTTGTGGGACGTTCTTGTATTTGTGACGGCCACACCAAAATAAAGCAACAGCTATCATCAAAAATACTGTAGGAACACCAAAGGCCAGTGGATAGCAGTCATCTTTAAAACACTTCACGTCTCCTGTCAAATAAAATATTTAGTGAGTTCCTTATTTATCATGCAAGTGGTGTTTAAATTATTTTCATTACTCTAAGGGCCTGTTTACAGGGCGTGGGGGTCCCCGGTCTAGTGGGGTTGGTTTCTTTTGTTTTCACGCTCTGGGGGACACAAAACCAAAGAAAACTACCCCACTAGACCGGGGTCCCCCACTCCATGTAAACAGGGTCTAAGTTACAAAGTGCTCAATTGGCTGATGTAGGTACCAAGTTTCTCTAGATAATTTAACATTTATCACTTGAAGATAATTGTGGCTCTTTACATTCCATGGTAATTATCGCTTTTTTTAAACCAATATACGAGTTTAATAATCCTGAAAGGCTATATCTAAATAAATCCAGCTAGCACTACGTGCATCCACGGCAGCCAGCCCAACAATCTTATGGCGCTCTGTATCTCCAACAATGTTCCAAAATCTAGTTGAGCCTATATTATTTTACGGCGCAGAAACCCAAACTGGCTTCAAATGACCACAATATATTGGGTGGAAAGTTGACTAATCTTCGACGCAGTGCACAAACATTAACTGATCTGAGCATGCAACACACAAGAAGGAATACATCGGAGATCGGAGAGGACGCTGCGCGCCGTCAGTTCCCTGGACAGAACCCCCCAGCTTTTGGCTCGGTATACGCGAATTGGAGTATCAGATCTTGATTCTGCAATCTGGGACGGCACGGCGTGGAAGACAAAACATTCCAGCGCATGCCGAAAGGATAATGATAATGTTTAATTTTACTTTCCGTTCCTGCACTAAACACTTGTATCATGTTATAACAAACTTCTATAAACGAGTAACCTTACCTCTTAGTACGGGTGTGATGAACATGGAGAGCAGACTTCCAGCATTCATAGCAAAATAGAATACTGAAACAAAGCTCTGAAGCAGATGAGTCTGATCAGAAGTAAACTGGTCTCCTCCAAAAGATGACACACATGGTTTGATTCCACCAGTTGCTACTGCAATCAGGAATAAACCAATCATTGGTCCTGGAATCTCACCAGCATCAAGCGGAGGTAGTGATGTGACAAATACTATCAGGCTCCCTGCACCATAAAGAAGAAAAACGAACTGGATTGTTCTAGGGAAAAATGAGAAAAGGAATTTTTTACACCATGTTTTCAATTGTCTCATAACTTATGAATTCCTATAAGTAAAATCTATATTTTTCTTTAACTCCCCGAGAGTTTTACTGTGAAATTTGGCTAATGGGTTACGTGAACAGAAGGAACTCAGGAATACGCAAATAATGAAGTGTAAGAATGCTAAACGAATATCAACGCAAGAAACAGTAGCGGATCTGGGTTTTCGAGTTTTCATTTACTTGCATGATCTTTCTCATAGCCCACTGCGTAAAAAAACTTAATGCTTAAAAGGCAGATTTAGCCTCGCCAAAGGGTAATAATTCAACTTTCCTTTGGTAAAGTATCACCCACAATGGAGCGTCATCTTACGGGACTTATATGTGTGACGCGCGAAAATTAAACCTGAATGGCTGGTCAGACGGTAAGACAACAGAGAAAGTGGCCGGAAAATGACCAACAACGCGTATTTTCTTCGAGCACACGAGTAAATATATACTATCTTTTCAAAAAGTTAACTAAACAAATAACACCTTATAAAGGATCGCACTTACTATGTAAAGGTCATTTTTTAAAGTAATTTAATTGTATCGGTGAGTTAGAGAGGAAATGAGTAAAAGTAAAACAGTTTGGAAACCGTGCACACTCTATGAAAGACCGAACTTATCAAAAATTTCCTGTATACTATAGAAATTGATTGCTTGAGTGCTACAAAACTACTCAAGCCCTAAATTGAGAACGACGGAGGAAAGAAAGTAATTGCACTATAAATCATTCTTTGAATACTTTTATGTCTTTGGTTGTATTGGGTACTTATCCATGACGAAACGCCTGAAGGCATGAATATTTATACGATGAATTTGTATTTTATTCACTAGGAACTTCAAGCTTGATTGAATAACAAGGCAGTTTGTGATACGAGCGTCTGTGATATGAACTGTGACCGCAATGCGTAAATATTTACACAAGCGCGGGTTTGCTATTTAGATCAGATTTATAGTGTGATTCATGTCCAAAAATTCCTACAGATTTTGCAGTGATCGCCATTTGCATGCCCCCCCACCCCCGCTAGGTACACAATCTCAGACGGAACTTCAGCATATTTAATGGCGCTGAATTAGTCAACTGAGCAATGGAGTCTTATCGGGTAATGTGATCAGATCTAGAGGACTGACTGGAGAACTCATAGGGATAGGAATCAGATAAAAAGTAGAACATAACTAGGAGATTCTATTTAACTTACCTGTATTTTCCCAGCCAGCCATCGGCGATCATTGCCCCAAACAAAGGAGTAAAGTAACATAACATTAGAAAGCTATGGAAGACTGCAGTGGCGGTATTGTCTCCAAGAGCAAGCACACGAGTCAGATACAAGATCAAGATGGCTTTCATCCCACAGTAAGAAAATCGCTCGCAGAATTCACTCCCTACGATGTAGCAAACACCCGAGGGAAATCCGCTCTTACAAAGGAGAAATTTCTTAACACGGCCCCAAAACTTTCCGCTAAGTGTAAAATTTTCAGCGTTCTGTGGATAGGTTTCTTGATTTAGGCTAGAACAAGGAGTGTCCAGGCTCGTTTGGCTAAGCCGGCTTTTGCTCATGTGTCCATTTCCGTGTGAAGTAGTAGAGCAGTTTTGATCTGACATAATAGAAAATGTTTCAAACCCTCACAAAGGACTGACAGCAAAATATCTTGTGACTTTCGACCACCTTGACGTCAGCCTAGACGATTGAAAAACAAGACAGTAGAACCTTTGTTATTGAGTATAATGCAAATTAGTTGCAGCTGATTTGTTTTACAATAATCTCAATAAAGTTAATTATGTTGAACAACACTGTCTTCTTCGGTGAACCACGGTTATTTTAAACTCCATGTTGAAGTTTTTAAAGTCTTCTTTTGGCAGGCTTCTGTTCAGTCTATATATTCAATTGAAGGCAGCAAGTTTGGAAAAAAGCTTAAGACCTGAAAATTTTCTACAGCTAGTGAAACTCAGCCGTCAAATTTTGGTTTTATGTAAAAAGGTCTATCTAGACGTTTGGTTTTCTGCATAAGACTTCACTTCCCTTGAATGACTTCACAATAGCGGAAGTAAAAAATGTATTAAAATAAAACCTTTTCCCGATTTTAGATCATAACCATAAGTGCGGTTTATCAGTTTTGCCTTTTTCAGATCATGGAACAGTCCAGCTCCCCGCCAACAACAAAAAAAAGAGTATGGCTCCTCGTATTATGATAAATGGTCTTTGAATGATCAAAATTGGATTTAAAAAAACAACAAAACTTCAGGTTAATAGAATTCAAAAAAAGATAACAGGCTTTCATAATATGACTAAAATGATATGAACTAAATAAGGAAATACCTACCTTCTATTCATTCAGTTCAATGTGGCAAACTAAATTGTAGTTGTCCTGAACTTGGCACGGGGTGGTCAGTAAATTTAAACTTTTGAAAAGATTGAATAAATGAAAATTATATTCAATGGCAATATTACACGTGCACGTATATACGACGAAAATACAAACGGAGCAGACTGAGAACCATGGTAACACAACGCACGTTTTGTTATTTTGTTCAGTTTCTTTTGTTCACTCCGAGTTTTAATTTCTTTCGCCGATTTTACCAGCTACACTCTATCGATTAGTTCGGGGTTATGACATTGGGCGCATAGAACTGGTTTGAATATTAACCACGAGAATTATTTTTAAGCACTATAAAAACACGAACTTATGCAGCCACGTGTCAATCATTACGACATTAGTGCCTTTTGTTAGGATTTTTATGCTAACAGTACTACGTCGTTACGTGCGCTCATACTTGCGTCGTAAATGAGCAGTCTAAACATGCTAAAGCAGTTGGTGTTTGGAAATGGAATATAAGCAATTGTAAGCTAAATTGCAGTCACTGATGTACGTTTTAGTAAACTTTATTGGCCGTCACAAAGACGTAGGAACCACTTCTTAAGCAAAACTATAACTGCGCGAATTTCTCTTTCCATGTTAGAGCATATCGTTATGTGCAATAGAAATATAGGTTTTTCAAATAGACTTTTACGAAAACGAGGAATGTAGTAAAATAAATCTTATGATTTCCTTGGAACAAAACTCAATCAAAGCTAGTCCATGCCGGATGCATATACATAACCGCCAAGTATAACTATAAGAATGTTTTTCCCAGAAATGTGTATTTTCTGCTGCCTAATTAGACGGTCAGTTTTTGTCACTCTTCAACTTGGCGCTTGAATGTGTTGTTTTCCATACGATCCAGAAGATCACCGTATACCTTGGTCATCTAAAGAAACAATAAAGTGGATATTAACTAAATAATGATATACGGCCTTTGATGGTTCGTGACTGGAGTTACCCCCCGGTGGAGGGGGGGGTACTTTAGGAATTTCTGGGTGGGGATGTGCCGCTGTGACCCGGGAACCCTTTTAACCTATACCAGACCCCGGGGAGTTACCCTTATTACTGAATTTTTTAAGTAGCCAAGAACCTGTTCTCTGTCACATACTCTGTAGCTTGAGTCAAATTGACGAAAACAAACCAGGAAGAAGTGAGGGACACCTGAAAAAGGCTTTAACTTGAAAGGGATTTATCACCGTGTAATCAACAGAGAGTTGAGCTGACCTTTTCTTGATAGTTGCACTTAAATGTAGACAAATGATGCAGTAGTCTCATGGCCAGCGAACACCACTTCTCTCCGGCCTCATGTCTACTGGCACTGTGAACAAGAAACATGGTAAAGCTAGTACATCACAGTTTTTTTACATGCTCTAATGTTTTTTAATGATGAATTAAGTATTTTGAAGAAAGCATGATGTTAATATAAGCAGGTGAAGTGCTGTCTGATTTCAATGTGCTCGTGCTTAACGGAAATAGAGACTGACTGATACAGATACCGAATGTCGTTTATGTTCGACTACTCACAACTGAGGTTGCAAATTCGCTAGATTTGAAGCAATGAATGCAAAATCTATCTGCGTATCGTCTGCGCGACGAAATTATACATATCCTTTTAAAAAGTGAACTCATCAAAACGTGTCAGGAAGCCGACACTGAATCTGTGGCTACCCTCTTTTTAAGCCACATGTTCGATTAAGCAAAGAGGGAAGGTCGACCGGTTTTACCTTGATTCCGTTTTTCTTTCGAGGCTCATTGATCCCTAATATTTTCAGCTGTCAGTGAAAACTTTTTTCTACGACATTACCTGTAAGCGTCCCGGTGTTACGTAATATGATTATTTACCTGAATAGGTTTATCCCACAGTTCCACGCTTTCGTCATGAGCCACAGGATTTGAACTTCGGGATACGATCCCTGAAATAGAGGTAACTTCTCATCAACTGATTTATATCAAAACTGAGAAAGGTTTTATACCATTTGATATATCTTTTAGCACCGATAAGGGTCCATGAGCTTTTCTGAGACACTGGATGAGCGTACAATACTCAGTCTGTAGTATTTTACCTTTGCCTGGTTCTCGATGAGTTCACAAATGTCTTGGTATATAGCCAAAGCCTCTTCTTTGCTCTCAGCGTCACTACTACTGCCACTGCTTAATGCATGATATACCAGACTGTGAAAAGCTTTACTGAACAAGGGTAATTATTAGATATCAGTATTTAATTATGGTAGACGCTTTAAATAATTAGTTATTCAGAGAACTAAAATTAAAACTGAAACCTATACTTTACCTTCATTAATTAAACATCTTGCACAGATCACGGAAATATAATTTTGGTGTCGAGAGACCAATTAAACTAGTGTTATCTCGTTGGCTTCTATTTCTTATGAACATTTCAATCAATTACGTACACAGTAGCTACATTAGAAAGAAAGAAAGCAAAGAAGAGTTAAAGTAAGGAAGGAAGTTAGTTAGTAAGCAATTAAGTAAGGCATGAGACATAGAGGAGTCAGTGGATAATATATTATAATAACCAAGCATATAGCTGGAAATGTCTGCCGATATGAACAAACACCTGTATAAATATATATAGGATTGCTACCTCAACTTAGCGAAGTCCACTGATTCCATTGCAAGATGTTTCTTGATAGCAACTCTCAAAGCTCTCATACTTATCTCTCTGTTACAAGTAGGAGATTCGACTGCAATGGCTTCACCGAGCCAGAAAAATTCACCAAATGTAAAACAATTGCGTTAGTAAAGCAAGATGTTTTGTTGGAAGTATTACAAGTTAATGACACGTGCAATTTCATATGGTCAAAGAAATAGTAGAGAAATTTCCAACATATACAAAAGTTGGTGTACAACTGGTACAAGACTTGTCACAGTCTTATAATTCCATGTATCAAACAATTTTCTTAAAACTTTGTAACAGAAAATGAAAAAATTTCTGACCACCGTTTTTAATTTGTTGTCGAGTTTAGTTATATCGTGCGTTAACCAATTGGATACCACAGTCTTCTCCTTTTTATCTTCAACAGAAAATTATACATATAAACGTATCTGCAAGTTGATTACCAGCAAGAGTTTCAAAGGTACTTGCATCAGTGTGTGGCAAAGCTTCCGCTGCGTGTAAACATTCATATAGGTCTGAATCAGTACCAAGTTGCACCTTGGCCTCGAACTCATACAGAGTGAGCAGTATAAACGATTCGTCTGAAAAAAGTACCAAAATTAGCTCTATTGGAATATTATAACTTCAGGAATAAAGTTAGATAAAGATGCGAAAAACAGATCGATAAATAAAGGCGTACTCAATTTACCTTTTTGACTCACTACGCCACCCCCAGCCATCTTTTTGCGAAGATCACGACATGTCTCGACGTGCTCCAAACACTGCCTTAATAGCTTTTTCTACAATAAGGAACAAGTATTTGATTAGAACAACATAAATATTTCTACGTCATTTATACAACTAACAACTCTCTTTGTGTCTGATCCCCAATGAACTATTCCTCTTTTCTCTACGGTTACATTGCACTCATGTATTCCGAGAGCTTCTCCAGTTTCCAAGGGCCACCCTTCAACTTGCTCGTGCGGTTCGTGTTTGTACAAGAGTTCGGTCCTATCTGTTATTTTATGCAACAAAAAAGAGGTCGTGGTTGAGCAATTAATTTAACAGACCTTCCAGAACGATACAGAATGCATGTCCGACCAGTTCAAAAGTTTTAAGTTACTGTTCTTGATTACATGAATTAGGAACACAGAAAATGTTATAGGAAGTAACATAAACCTTCTCTTCTTGGCTATTTTTGTCTTGTTCTCTTGCTGCTTGAACAGCAGATGCAGCAGCCATCACAAGGCAATTCTTTTGACGAACGAAGTTAGAAGATTCCACGGGACAAAGGCAAGAAAACTACATAACACACACAACAAAAACAAATATTAGCTGGTTAAATCTAAATTGGACTCGTTTCTGTGCCTTTTCTTAAAGTCAACCTTTTTAAGGGCATTTTCATCAATAACTTTCATTGATTTATTTATAATTTTGAAAAAAAGTGAAATGTTTTGAAGGAACCTATAACTTACAAGACTCCCGGCATAAACTACTTCCAAATACGTTGCAAATATGCCATTTCTTTAGACATAAATTTAATGGCTGTTATCAGAGGGGTAGTTATATTAGTAAATGTAACTTAAATTGTACACTTCTACCTTATAACAACGCAGGAAAAGCTCTTGCATTTCCAAGCTATTATCAGTACTTTCCAGTGCAACATTCCAAGCTAAGAGTAAAGATTTCATTAGAAGTGTAATTAGGGGTAAACTCCTATGTTGAATATCCGAGCACTAATACTTAAGCAGAAGTCGAATGCAAGGTCTTTGAATATATCATTCTGTATCAGTCTGTCCGTTTGCCTACCAAGAGGAAATTATTAGAATGTTTGCCGCTAATTTTAAACTCAAGCAACCTGCTATACCAGAAAAGTATAGCATGTATTCTTGGTTGACATTTTATCACGATTCTATTTCTCCATTTATGAGCTTGCTGTAACCCATGCAGCCAAGGATGACCCCTTAGGATATCAGGAACTATACGTGCATGAGGGGGGGAAACACCACCGAGGAAACTTGCCCTATTCTTTTCGAATACCAATGATATAACCGGGCCGGCGGTTGGAAGAATCGGATTAGTTAAAAGACACATACCATGGTCATAAAACTTTCTTTTGGAGCGTCTTTTTCAAGCCACCAACCTTTAGGTCTTGTCTGCATTTTCCGCTCACAGAATCAAAGTTGGTATATAAGGGAACGTTGCATGGTAAAAAACAGACATTCGTTGTCCGTTCTTCGTAATAAGTAAGCAGCTTACCGATTTTCATAAACCACATCGCCTCTACATACACATGCGTATCGCCTGCACCGTGCATCTGAGACAAGCGATCCAACGCTAAGAAATAATTCCAAGAAGTCGTGTTAATGATCTTCATTATTTTTTTAAGTTATTTATTTTCTGTAAACTGTTTTGTCAGTGCCGGAACTAAGTTAACACAGTCGGATGCAGGGGACGGCCTGAATCATGTTTCAGAATGCCCATTGCCACAGTCCTAGAAACGATCAAATACTCGAATAACTAGTTTCGTATTCGAAATCGTAAGAGAACCGAACATGCTGTTTTATTTGTGGGGCAGGAGAATTTGCCCCCACTGACTCATGACTCGCTGCCCTCAAGAATGTAGCCTGCGAATACAGCCGTTTCTCCTTGCTCCTCGCAGCTAAGGACGTTTCGCGAGGAGAAAAGAGAAGCAGTTGTATTCGCAGGCTATCAAGAATTAAAAGTGACGGTAAATTTATCTCTGCAACGAAGCGGAGAAAAAGAGATTTACAAAGTATGCTTTTGGAGGCTAGCAGGAGAAAGTTGTATGCCAGAAAATGTGAAAGCCCTATTACAAGTAGAGGTTTTAGAAATAACCTGAACACAATAATTATGGAAAACTTAAGTTTATCAATCAAGTGATATCAATAGCGAAAAGTATGCCTTCTCAGTTTGGATTGTTCTTAGGTACTCAACTTACCGATCTGTAGATAGCGAAGAAAAGAGGTAACATCTCTCCTAAAAAAAAATAATGAGTTAAAAATCATCAGAATTGGAGTTTATGAGATTTGTTTTAGAATTACCTAAAACCTATTAAGGGGCAGTTCTGTTGCAGAATATGGTAACAATTGTAAATGTTAGGATATAGAAAGCCGAAAAATATTTCATTGTTGATTTACCTTGTTCCTGAATCTGAAATTTCTGTGAGCTTTAACCTTGACAAGCATCTAATTTGTTTAAATAGAAAAAAAAATCATTCACAGGGTTTAAAAAAGAATTGGATCAGTTCACTCAATTTAAAAATCGGTAATGATATGTTAATCGTAGGTTACATTTGGCTAAAGACGTTATTTACCAAGGAAGTTCGCACGCTTAAAAGAGATAACAGATAACTAATATAAAAGAAAGAGATACATGTAGATAGTCATACCTAAGTGACGTTAAAACTTGTTGATTATCACTGCTAGTAGCTATGACCTGTTCCAGAGCACTGACGGTTACTTGATGGTTCTTTTGCTAAAAGACATAAAGTATAAAGAACAAAGTTTACAAAAACTTAAAAACCTCTATCTGTAATAAATATTACCTATCTTAGATACAATGAAATTTACTTTTACTTCTCAAATATTTAGTGACTTCTGTTTTGACAAGAGATTTAAATAACTGTATTGTATTTATTTATTTATTTGCAGATTAAGAATACATAACAAATTTATATAAAAGGTGAAAATGAACAATAGGACACGAAGTCCCCTGCAAGGTTAAAGGCACTCCTCCCCCCCCCCAAATTTCCTCTTTCATTGTTGACGTGATGATTTCCATTTTGTAAAACTATCAAGACATCATCATCACAAGTAAATCACTTGTTTTAATTGACGAGGCCTTATCAACAAGCTTTACTATTCGCCTTCTTTTTCTTAACTATCAGTTTTTGGGACATTAAATAGTTCATTATCTTTGTTAGTTTTTTTAGGAGAAATAAATAAATAAATAAGCTTAACAATCGGTTGTAGCATGCAAAGTATGTTCGTCTCACAAAATGTATAATAAATGTGATAAACGAACTTCGTGACGTTTAGGGGGAACGGCGAGGCGAGAGGAACTCACCACAACCAATCAGTCAAACTGCTACCCTTTTATTAACAGTGTACTCTTTAGCTACTGTTGGCTTACAGTCAAACTTCTACAGTGTTCTTGTCTTTTTTTCTTCCTTACTACCTCTCTCTCTTTAATTCTTTTTTCGACGCTCCAAATCTTTCTTCCTAAATCCGTTTCGCTACTTAGAAGCTCTCTTTTTATTTGCCTTAATGATTAAGCCTTAGGTTGAAATTAGTACAAAGTTTCCCACTATTAAAAACTTGTATCAACATAAAATAAAAGAGTTCCCTAAGTTTAATTACTTTAAAGGTTACAGTGGTATTTAATTGTTTTCCAAGGAATGTCAAGTTTAGAAACGAGATGTCCTTCTCTCAAAAAAGTACACTGTTAATATTTATCATCCTAAATAAAAAGCTTACTAGTAAATTGATTGGGTTTTTTGGGGTGTTTTTTTTTTTAAATTCAATATTTATCCAGGGGCATCCAATTTAGCAGAGCCGAGTTTAAATGGAGCCCTGACACAACACAAAAACAAAGACATTAAAACATTAAAACTAGACAATTAATTAAGTTACAAAGACAACATGTACCGCTGGCGTTACTGTTTAAAATGGCGCTTTAGCTTGATTTTGAATTCACTGAGGGTCTCTACTTGTCTAATGATTCTCAGTACAGCTGTCGGTAGAGTGTTGTAGGTCCAAGCACCGTTTATTCTGAAGCTACCTTGGTATTTAGTAGTTTCTGCGAAGGGAGGGCGCAGCAAATCATGACTTCTGGTGTTATAGCCATGGAAAAGGTGCGCGCGTCTAAACTCTGAAAGTAAGTACGAAGGCGCTATTCCGTGAAGACACTTATGGACTAAGACGCATTTGAGATAATTTATGCGTGCTTGTAGGCTGGGCCAGCCAAGTATTGATTTTAACTCCTCAGCCCCGATAGATCGACCTTCAATAAATACTTGCGGCGCGTCTATTTAGCTTATCTAGATAGGCTTTAATGGCCCAACCCCACATCTGTCCCAGACACGTTTCATTTTGAAACAAAAAACACTTAGAATGTTCTAGAAGCTTGTAGAATTGAGATTTCATGAACTTTCATGAACTTCTCATAAATTTGTAAATCGGACACATCAGTCCTGTTACAAGTGCATCAAACTTATAAAGTCATGGTACTATTTACGGACTACGGTCCATTTTGACAAATATTTTTCTTTCTGTTAGGAGAAGAAACTGTGCACCTCCTCCAGAAAGACTAAGTGAATGGTCAGATGGGAACTTGTTTCTCAACAACAACTTGCGTTTTTATGTCATCTACTGGCGCAAAGGATCAACTGAAGCTTCCTTCGCGGTACTACAGACAAATTCTAATCCGAGTAGTAAGTCTTCACCTAGGATTTTACGCAGAAACGTATTAGTCTATAGTAACATCATGCAGAACGATTGATGAGCGTACCTCTAAAGCCAATTGTGCAGCCAGACATATCAACAAATGAGCATCAGTTTCTGTTATGTTATTATCTTGCCTTGAATCAACTTCACTCATCTTAGTCATTGCGTCCACAGCTGGTGATTAAAATAAACTATGTTAAGCATGCACTCTTGCTGATGCTCACAATTTCGGTTCGGGTTGGAATCGACAAGCTGTTAGAAGTTAAAATGATAGACCCGGGTAAAATAGACGTAAATAAAATAACCATAACTTTACTAAGTGTAGGGTGTATGCATAGGAGAGATGAATTATTTATCTCACTAGTTTTGGGGTTTCCTGATGTCGTTATGATGTAGCCATGCTCACCAAGGTCATCTTGTCCTTCCAAGAGGGCTATTTTAAACTTATAGAAGTAAACAACAGCATTCTCGGAATCATTTTCTTCCGCTTCTCTTATGGCTTCTTTGGCCTGGAAAGAAACGCACCAAAAAGGAATAACTCAACTTTTAAATAACTGAGATAAATACCAGTCCTACCTCTCCATTAAAAGAAACTATTGACAATTAAGCCTGGTAGGTCAGTTTCAATATAAAAAGGCTTATGGGAATAGCGGCTGCAATAGGCTGGCTGAGTTCGTAATTAAACTAAGCTAGAAGCCACTCTGTATAGTTGAAAAAGAGTGCAGATGGACAACATGACTTGGAACCGTAAGAAATAACCATTGTTTCCACCTAATTACGAGGAGTGAAGACAAAAAGTAATACCCTCTTTAGTCTTAGTAACCCCCTGCCCAGATCTTAGACCTAAACCGCTATCTCACTTTGGGGATACAACAGACCATTTTACAGTTGTGGGATTAGTATCCTAGTCTTTGAGGACCTTTGAGTGAATGCGAGGCTGGGGATGACTTTGTTTTGATACAAACCTCTTTCCTTTTCTTATGAAACTTATGCTTAAAAAATACTAGTTAGCATAAGAACATAATTTATATACTAAAGCAAGAAGGGCTGTATCAAAACGAGGTCAACTCCAACCTCGTTTTCACCTGTAACTGTACAATGGGCTATTTTTGTAACCGCAAATAGCTTAAGCTAAAGGGTCTTCTTGTCAAACCTTCTCATAGTCTTGAAGATTCATGTAACAACAACATTTGTTTCGCTGCAAAAAAAAAAAGAACAGGTATGATGTTTCCCATTTGGTTTTGATCACCAGCAAAAAGTTAACGAAAATGTTTTAGAAGAGGTTAGGCCAAAGAACAAAGTTAATTTCAAACCATTTGGTACATAATTCCAGACTGAGAGTGGGTTCCCTTTCTTACAAAAGGGCCCTTTTCAATTTCAAAAGGCGGCCCACGAGGCCCTCAGTAGATGATAACTAGAGTAACAAATGTAAGCCCTGTATCTGGTCTGTATGGTGTAAAAGCAACCGTCAGTATGCCACTCAGCAAGGTTTAACCTAGAGATATATTGTACTAGCTTGATGCGTATGTAAAAACTTCCGAGAAGCGCGCATACTTTGTCTTGACTCTCCTTCTTTTATTCAGATAGCTAATGGCATTAAATTCAAATCAAAAATCGTTCTTTTTTTAAATGAAAACCAACAATTTACTACTGTATCGGTCACACTAAATGAGTTTGTCGTGCAAATCAATTCCCGTTATTTTAAAAAAGGTAGTATAATTGGAAGCATGGCAACGCTTTTCATTTCTTTTTCATACCAACCTGCAGTTTTGCAATACTTTTGCTGTTTGTCTCGTTCGAGGAAAAGAGGCTCAAGGAATAATTATACCAGTTTAATGCTTCATTGTAGTCTTTTGCCTGAAGAAATAGAAGTTGAAAAAAGGAAAATATGAGTATCCCATGGGAATTCGAACCATTACAAATGTTTACTGTCAGCTTGGTTCCTTGTGAATAGAATTATCCCAAACTTATAGGATCGATTTTCTAATAAATATACACGATAATAATTATCACCGTACAAAAATTAAGGGGCACCCACGCTACTTTTGCAAAAGCGAAAGGAAATGAAACAGTATTAATGTTAACGACAACAGTCATTTATCATTTAGAAACCTCATAACAAACAGCCGCTTTTTCCCACAAAAGAATATGGAATCTTTGAAACATCTCTGAATCAACGGATTTGCTCATCTCACCTGAAAAACAATTTAGCAAAAAAACAAACAAACAAACAAACAAACAAATCATGATGTCAGTGCACTATCGTGATCAAACTCAATCAGAACGATTAATTAAAATGAAAACAAAAAAGAGATCAAAGATAAGTATCAACAAGCTAGGCCTTGCATACCAACAATGCAGTTTTCGATAAGTTCCTTTGCTGCGTCATCCTTCTTATTTTTTAACAAGAGTTCCTTCAGACAAAGAGTAATGAATTCAGTTGATGTAGACCGTTTGTCACTTAAATTTTCTTTAAAATCGCAACATGATCTCCTTCATTTCTGATCAAAAAACTTCTGTAAGAGTAACAAAAATTAAGAAAAAAGCCTAATCGCAGCTTTTGCCTTGATCTCAATTCCCTTATGATTTGCGGTAGGCCTAAGAGGAGGAAAAGTCATTTTTAGATCTTTAGATGTTTTCCGTATTCCTTATTAAATGGAAATTGCTATAGTAACTTACCAAGTGCTCAAGTTGAATCTTATAAAGGTCCGGAGAGTTTTTGAAGCGTGAAGTCAGAATTTCCAAACAGTCAAAAGCCAATTCCGGTCTGACAATAATAAAAAAGAAATAGATTCAACTTCATTTTATCACCACATTAATTATGACTAGTACTATCTGTTTATTTTCAGCAAGAATTGATAAAGTTGTGCTTTTTTCTCTTGGTCTTCTAAGCGGCCTTCATCTTGGATTGCCAGAATGTTTTAAACATGCCAAAATTAACGCTTCTATTTCTACAATTGGTTTCCCGCTAACCTTATTAGGAACTTCCCTTAAATTAATGAATACCCCGTTATGACGTTCGTGGATTAGTACACGTACATTTACTTGTTCAATCCATAAAACATATATAACAAGTTATAATTATGTGCAGTTAAACATGATTTTCTTGCCACTAAATTTGCTCTTGCATTTAAAAGATATCTTCATTTTACCAATTATCGACCCACCTGCTTTGCTGGATTGCCAAATTTACTGCACACAAACCAAGATCCACCTTTAAGTCCGGGTGCTGAAGAGTTTCCTCAAAGGCTATAAATAAAACAAACCCTACCTGAATTTATTGAATGATAATTACTGTTTACTCGTCCAGTAGATGTAAATTACGTTAAATATTGATGAATATGGCATACTGATTTAGTTATGAAAAAACGACTTAAGGTAAAAAGGTGCATGAACGTCCTTATTTTACGTCGGAACTCTTAACAGTTCAAACGTAAGGCCGACTGTGCGCTCATTTTACCCCCTCCCCCCTTCCCTCAGTCCATCATGGTCCGAAATCTGCTAAAACTGCAAGGAAAGGGAATAAAACAATCGAGACAAGGAATCAGAGCAGTATCGTCATATCTTTTAAATATTACCCTGGATAAAAGTTAACAAAAACTTGCTTTCTTCAACGCTAGAACAGTATTAATTCACGACAAATACAGTTGCATGGGAAAACTTTGATTTATTCTTTTTTCCTGGACAAAAAAAAACACATTCTCATAGCTTTTTCATGCTCAAATACTGAATTGTCCAGATCTGACCTGAATTGAACAACCTTGACTATAGTCAGTTTATTTTCCATGTAAGAGCAATTCAAGCTCTGTTACATGTTTAACGTGTTACTTTGAGATAATATAATGTCCCTACAGTACTCGTTAAATGAAAAAACGGCAAATTGTGTATAAGGGAAAGGTTTGATACCTGACTTCAATCTCGAAAGTGGAATCGTTTCCCCATTACCCATAATAAGTAGTTTTGCTTTAAGATAAAGTCCAGCGGGATGGCTATATTCCTAAGTAGAAAAGCGGGATATACGTCAGTTGTTTGAATGTATCCAAATCGGATTCAAATACAGTCTAAATAGAACTCATCAACTCCTCTGCATAGCAAAAATAATGTAGGTACTTACAGAGTTTGCAAGGTCTAAAGAGGAACAAAAGAAAAACATGGTTAATCTTGGCTGCTGAATATAAGGCTGCAGTAAGTTTACTAAATGCATTGGATTAAACGTGATAGAACAACAATTTTACAGTTCTTAGGTTAAACTGAATTTTAATTTGTGTCAAAGTGGAACAGGGTGTCGGATAAGCGTATTCTGTAAGATTCATACACACTCAACAGAGCTTCTGCCATTATAAAATCATAATAAAGCGAGTATAAGTGAATAACGACTTAAAGTTCTTGAAATTTACTGGCGGAAGATAAAGTATTCAGGATTTGTTACCAGTTGCATTGAGAGCCATCTGCCAGTTGTTTTTGTAGTCCCAATCAAGATATGCATTTGCCAGAAGGCGCAATGTTGTTGCCTGCTGCAAATTTCAAAAGCATATTTCCTGTTAAATCTACAATTCATTCTTTTCTGTACCTTTTAACAATGGCTGAACTAATTTCTGGAAACTGAAAGCTAGTAACTATGCCGAAGATCTATGCCGCCAGAGAAGGATATTGTGTTCACAGTTATCTTTCACGCGAACAAAGGCAAAGGAAAGACAGAAAAGGGCTGTAACTTGACCTTGGAGTCACAGAAGAGACTGAAAAATGTACTTGTTCATGCCCAATTACAACTTACATGCAGCAAACATTCCATTATTGACAATAGATCTTTCGTACAAGAAATAATTGTAATCACATACCTCCTTTTTTGCTCCAAAGGGATTACTTTCTTTTCTTAGATCATAACTTTGCCTGAGCAAAAAACAATTTAAAGTGAGAAAAGTCTACTTTAGTACGTTACGAGATTGGTTTTTATCAGAAGATCCATCCCTGATAATTATAAGATGAGTTAAATATTCCTCTTTGAGACATGGGTCAAGTTGATTACTATGTGAAGGTGTGGTTTGTACCGCACTCAACTGGTGTGATTTATTTGTTGGACTTAATTTACCAGAATAATGCCTACCTGAGCCAGCCGATGCAATTCTCGTATTCCTCACGGTAGTAGGTATCAACACCAAAATTGTAACACAGCTGTGCCAAGGAAATGCTCTTCGGTACGGAGGAAAAGGAGCACATTACCAGTTTTTTAATCACATGGCAAAATATATAAAGTGCCTATAGCACGTATCGTCCCTCACCTCTTTTAAAGTTAGTCTTGGCAAGTATTNAGCAAACATTCCATTATTGACAATAGATCTTTCGTACAAGAAATAATTGTAATCACATACCTCCTTTTTTGCTCCAAAGGGATTACTTTCTTTTCTTAGATCATAACTTTGCCTGAGCAAAAAACAATTTAAAGTGAGAAAAGTCTACTTTAGTACGTTACGAGATTGGTTTTTATCAGAAGATCCATCCCTGATAATTATAAGATGAGTTAAATATTCCTCTTTGAGACATGGGTCAAGTTGATTACTATGTGAAGGTGTGGTTTGTACCGCACTCAACTGGTGTGATTTATTTGTTGGACTTAATTTACCAGAATAATGCCTACCTGAGCCAGCCGATGCAATTCTCGTATTCCTCACGGTAGTAGGTATCAACACCAAAATTGTAACACAGCTGTGCCAAGGAAATGCTCTTCGGTACGGAGGAAAAGGAGCACATTACCAGTTTTTTAATCACATGGCAAAATATATAAAGTGCCTATAGCACGTATCGTCCCTCACCTCTTTTAAAGTTAGTCTTGGCAAGTATTCTCTGGCTTTCCTAACATAAAAGCTAGCTGAGTCGTAATTTTTCAGCGAAAAGCTCTGTAAATGAACATACAAACCATTAAAAATTAAAAAAACACGCTCCTCACTATCATAAGTGGCAACGTTTCCTGGATCTTTAGAAAACCCTAAAACGCAACGAATAAAAAATTAAAGGCTAGTTTTAAAAGCTTGTTCTCGTAAACTTTTCGTGATGTGCAATTTAAGTGAAAACTACTCACGGCTTCAGCTCTGTAGCAAAAGACACGGAATATGTAGCGCTCACTTTCTGCAATGTTTTTGACCTGTTCCGTTGATGATGACTGCATCTCATTTAATGACCACACCTTTTGCAATCCATCCCAGCACTTCAAAGTAAAACAAAACAACCAACACAAAAAAAGATTGGAGTCCAATTATGGCAATTATCCAAGCAAAAAAAGTATAGAATGACGTTCAAGTATGTTACACCCTGGAGTATCACTCCACCGCCACCTCTTTCCTTCAGGGCTGGATGCCATTCCATCACTTAGGAAACCCCTGCAGTAGGACGCCAATACAATTTATACCCTTCATGAGTTCAAAGTGACAAAGTTTACTGTCTTGGGAAACAAATTTAACCATCGTACAATACTTGCTCTGACCACCGGACATGAAGTCGGACAGTAATGACTACATGTGAAAGTCGTTAAACTAAAATCAAAGAAGTTCCTTTGGCAAACACCAGAAGCCTCGGACTGATTTTTTGGTCGAATTATGGTAGTTTAGTTTTGTCCTATTTCTGATTGGCTTAGAAGTGGCGTGGACGCTTTTAACCAAACTTACAGAACAAGCAAACACCAAATACCCTAACTTTCGACACTCAAAAATAAAAGATGTAAAATGTAACTTTAACTTCTTTGTCAAAGAAGCCAAAATTAAGAACGATGCCGAGATACGAAACAGGTTCAGGAAAAAATGAGAGATTTATTTTCCAGTACAGCAACCCCTTAAAAGGGGATTATTAGCTGATTGAAACACTATGCGTACGTGCAATGACCGCATTTAGCACCCGTTACAAATTTATGTAGTTAAACAACTTTTTACGTAATGGTTTAAAAGTAAGTGTTAAAATTTGATTGCCGAGCACTGTACAGTTCTGGTAGGGAGTATTCTAAAACGTACCTCTGATGCTAACGCAAGGCACTCCTCTGCCATGGCTGGGTTTTGACATTCTAAAATACAAAAAGAGTTAAGCAGCTCAAAGCAACTTGAATGTTGAATTGTCGCAAGATTTCTGTAATGTGCGTGGCCGGCGTTCTTACTGGATAATGCATTAAACTGACGCCGNAACAACCAACACAAAAAAAGATTGGAGTCCAATTATGGCAATTATCCAAGCAAAAAAAGTATAGAATGACGTTCAAGTATGTTACACCCGGGAGTATCACTCCACCGCCACCTCTTTCCTTCAGGGCTGGATGCCATTCCATCACTTAGGAAACCCCTGCAGTAGGACGCCAATACAATTTATACCCTTCATGAGTTCAAAGTGACAAAGTTTACTGTCTTGGGAAACAAATTTAACCATCGTACAATACTTGCTCTGACCACCGGACATGAAGTCGGACAGTAATGACTACATGTGAAAGTCGTTAAACTAAAATCAAAGAAGTTCCTTTGGCAAACACCAGAAGCCTCGGACTGATTTTTTGGTCGAATTATGGTAGTTTAGTTTTGTCCTATTTCTGATTGGCTTAGAAGTGGCGTGGACGCTTTTAACCAAACTTACAGAACAAGCAAACACCAAATACCCTAACTTTCGACACTCAAAAATAAAAGATGTAAAATGTAACTTTAACTTCTTTGTCAAAGAAGCCAAAATTAAGAACGATGCCGAGATACGAAACAGGTTCAGGAAAAAATGAGAGATTTATTTTCCAGTACAGCAACCCCTTAAAAGGGGATTATTAGCTGATTGAAACACTATGCGTACGTGCAATGACCGCATTTAGCACCCGTTACAAATTTATGTAGTTAAACAACTTTTTACGTAATGGTTTAAAAGTAAGTGTTAAAATTTGATTGCCGAGCACTGTACAGTTCTGGTAGGGAGTATTCTAAAACGTACCTCTGATGCTAACGCAAGGCACTCCTCTGCCATGGCTGGGTTTTGACATTCTAAAATACAAAAAGAGTTAAGCAGCTCAAAGCAACTTGAATGTTGAATTGTCGCAAGATTTCTGTAATGTGCGTGGCCGGCGTTCTTACTGGATAATGCATTAAACTGACGCCGGATTTTTGGATTTTTGGATTTCCAAGTGCCGATCGGGCTGCGACGATCAATTTCACATACAAGTAATAGAGCGTTTTCACATGACGTCACGGCGGCCATATTGGTGTTCCAAAACAACGAAACAGCGGCCATGTTGGTGTACCCAGTAAATCCTCTGGGAGTTTAACTCTTTTCTCATGTAAATGGTTTCTTTTGTTCCAATAAATTAGCATAGATGCTGGCCACGTGAGTAAAAACGCTCTATACTTCATATCACTTTTTAAAGGGAAAGAATGGGGGTAGTAGTAACTATACGTTTTCAAGGCCATGTAAAGCTATACCAAATAGTCTATGCCGAGTGTCTGGCTACGGACTTGGAATTGTACTATGGTGAGAATACTAAAAATGAAAAGAAATCAATAAGATCGCGTTGTAAGTTTAAATTTTGCCTTTCAACTTTAATTTGAGTATTCCATTCTTATTTACGCACTGGAATTTTTTTGTCCTCTAAGCATCTTGTTTCGGTTACAGTTACGTGTTTAAGTGAACAATTGGACATTTTTGGGTTGAACGCGAGTGAATTTAATCATGATATTACCGAGTTTGACTTACCCAGCCAGGCTTTTCCGGTTTTTGTTGTCATCTAAATGAAAAATAATAATACTAAAAGATTAGATACCGTATCTTTGTGGCTTTTTAATAGGTAAGAAATTACATAGTATCTTGCTTGAGACGAAGCCGACGAAAGAAGGATCGTGAGAATGATAAAACTGAACATTTCTTTGTTCTCACCACGAGTTGTTTTCTGTATGTCACCTCACTTGTTTCGGAAGCATTTGCCAAAAATGACAGGTTACAAGCTGCATGCCTTACTGAAATCAAAAAGGGCAAAGTTGTTCTTAACTAATATATAAACAACAAGCTGTCATTATAAGTTTGCAATATTACATGCCTCTAAATTCTTATTAGTAGTCAGTAGTTGCTCATTCGCGTGTAAAAAAATCGCAGAGACCATTTAATTAGACTATTATTTGAGAGAGGGTGTGAGCCCTCAGGCTGGTCTAGTACAATTTCGTAAGGGTTTTTAGATGGGCTTATATTAACTCAGGGGAATTATAACCTAAAAATAAACTCGAAGAAGAATCAAAACGAATTAAACGTACTTTATTTACCTAGAAAAAACAAAATTTAAAAAATCCGACTCTTGTTGACTCTAACTGTAACCAGACCATACAAGATATATCGTGACAATCAATACATCAATCTGATCTGTGAGAATAAACCAGGCAAACCTATGATGATGTTCCTTTTTTTCGGGATTTTACCGTATGCTGTACGCGTACTGTATATCGAGAGTGTGACTTAAGCGTGAATGAAGCTGAGAAACCTTATTAAACACACAGACGCAGACTGGATCTTACATCGTGCATTTGAAATTGCGCCTGTTGTTCCACCAGTCTTCATTGCCACAGCAATATTCCAAAGTGTAACAGAACAACTGTGTATCTGAATTAACACTGCATTATTTTCACTTCTATCAAATGAGAGCTTATGCATTCTGTTTGCAAGGTTGGTTATTCGATCTGCCAGTGCTGTGACTCTTTCCTCGTTGTTCTGGTTTTGACGCAAGTCTTTTACAAGAGCTGTAAAAGAGAACAAAATCAGGGGAGTGCCGTAAGCCATCGACCTGCACGACACTGTTCCATGCGATAAGCCTAAATGATAACTTTTAAGCTTGATTCTATGAATAAAATTAAAGGTAAAGGTGAAAAACGAACAGAAGTTGAAAATGTCAGAGAAGAAGAATTGATTATTGTTTAGAGCTGCTTAGAGTTATGTCAGACAGTAATAGTCGTAATGGACGAATGTTGCTCTTGCACTATATATATACAAAAACATAATATTAGTGAAGTTCTATATAAGCCACGTGATAAGTAATTATAAGTGATGAAGCTACAAGAATCAAGATTAAGCTCACCTTGTAACAAAGTTGAGGCACTCCCGATGTCTTCTATATTATCTCGAACCATGTCGAAATGTCACAACATCCAGCCCCGTACTTGGCCAATTTTGTCCTTTAAAAAACCGAAACGAATGTCACACAGGCTGCATTGGGGACGAAGAATACAAAAAGGAAAAATCGCCAAAAGCTAAAGTAAAACACTGAAAAAAGCCGCAAAGAGATCCGCAAAGAGTTAAGAGTACACAGAGAGAAAGGACTTGTTTTGACTTTCAACCGCGTTGGCTGCGTCAGAAAAGGCGGGAAAAGTGGTTCACGTCTGCGTATCTTTTTTTGGCGCGAAAGTCTCTAAAGCGACAAGTTGGCGAGTTTGTTCGCAAAAAAAATATATGTGTGAAGCAGTATCCTGTTCAGAAATGAACGGAGATGTTTGCCGCTTTGAAAGTTTATTATTGAGAGAGAAGGTCAGTCTGAAATCATTTCATTTGCCCTTAAGCTTCTAAATTCAGCTATAAATTCACGCTATACCTTATATAAAGCCTAACTTTCAAACCTTTTGTTTTCTTATGGTTGTCTATGGCCTGCTTGTCATAGGCTTACTACTTTTTTTCTTTTTTTAATTTATAGTACGGTATACAGCATATGGCGACACAAAGTAGTGAAAACAAGTGATAAGCTTGATTGTAAAACTAAAATAGTTTGTAGCATTCAGTTTAAATAGTTTTATGGCTTAGTCTGTTTTCGCTATGCGATTGGTCAATTTGTGGTCCGTAACTTGCTATACGGATCATAACTTCAAAAGCAAATGCTCATTTCACAGCTCTAAATATCTTATCGAAAAAAGGTTTAAAGAAAGTTACAAGACGTCTGTCAACCTTGAGGACATGGATCACTTCAAGCCCTTCTAAATTTTTTTGGGGTCGACCCAAAAATAATTAGAAGGGTTTATGTGGAGTTTTCTTCGCATAACTGGACTAATATCTCAGAGACAATTTGCAAAGAAGCTCAGAGAAATGCTCATTTTTGGCAAGTAGGCCTCTTGAACGTTGTTCTTTTAGAATATCCTGACAAATCCCAAAATTTCAGAAATTTTATTTTTATGACGTCATCACTAATAATACTTTAACAAAGAACCCATTTCTCCAAAGCGGATTTTGAATATTGAATTGTCTTCTTTAGCCAAGTGTGTAGAATTTTTTCATAGATTTTAGAAATAAGAACCTGTTTCCAATTTTTGGCAAAACAGGTTCTTATATAGAGGGGGCTTAACTGGCAAATTTTAGCCTACAAACAGGTTCTTAAAATCCACCGTACTTACAGTGCTCTTAGTTTTGACCGAAGAAACTTTTTCAACATGACGCATTTGCGTATTTATTTTACTTTCAATGGAAAGCCCCCATGATCTATTGTTTCCGTATTTTCTGACGCCTGTCAAATGACTGTCAAGTCGCTTGTCCCGCACTTGTTTCCGGTCCCCCAAACAGGAAGTCATATAGCAAACATCTTATTGGCCTCATTTTTTCGGTCTGTACTATAAATTACGGACCTAGTTTTTTTCCATCACAAATCGATGGACAAAAAACTCGGTCCGTAATTTACAGTACGACCGAAAACCCGGCTAATAAGAGGTTCAAGCTTAATTTTAGAGATAGCTTTTGTAAACTTTACCTATCTCGTTTATGTACTTTGTTGTTTTTGATTATCAGTGACCAATTTCACAAGGAACTGTGGCAAATGGCGGTTGATCCACTGAGTCAATTGACGTCCCGCGATGTATCAGTTTATGGTGAATACCGCGATTCTAAACTAGTAAAAAGTTACTGTACAGGATATACAGGGCTAGAGCAAAACTGGTACGTCGCCTTTATTTCAAAATAGTCTATCAAAAGTACTGAGCAGAGCGATTGCATGGATTTTTTGGGGGGTTAAAATGGCCAGAACAATCTGTGTCCTAGTTTTAACTAGGTGCATGTTTTCCTTGACTTTAAAGAACTCGGAACACCACACGCAAACAGGAGCACCTAACGAGAACATAGTTCAAAACCACTTAAACATAGCATTGTTAAACGTATTTTAGTATTTAAACGGTGGAAAAAGGCATATTTTTATCCCCTAAAATTTTTTCATCTGTTCAGATTTCCTAGCTGAAAGTCTAGTGATCCGAAAATTCTAGGTGACCTTTTAAGGGTAAAAATCCGTTAAAAATGGGCAATAACAGCATTTTTTAGATGTTCGAAAATCCTAGGAGAGGCAGGCAAGCAAGAAATTTTACAATAAATTTTCGGAAAATTCTACATCTCAAATCGTCTTCCGAACAGATATTTTCCGAAAATTGACGTTGGGTGCCCCTGACGCAAATGCATGTCGTGGCGCATATTGAACCGATATTAGCTCCGGCCATAAAGTATTTCACATAAATTTGAAAACATCCCTCGCTTTTAGAACAGGATCGCATTAGAACGCATAAACGCGTTTTAGTTGGCCGTTGATGTCACGAGTCTTTATAAACTGAAGTAAATTATTCTCGGTTTACAATTTTAAAAAATTAACATGGTAAGTTGATAATTTAGCAGCAGTTGCCAGGAAGGAGATACTGGAGTGGATAATGTGGGACATATTCCAGAGGAAGACATGTCGATAGGGAGCTCAACAGATGATTCTGTTGCTACGGCTTCAGCAGTCTTCCGGCATCTTGGTAATAGAAGTAATATGTATGCCCTCTCTTAAAAGTTTAGAATTTGATAGAATTATATCAGGGGCGTATAGCTAGAAATATTCCAGGGGTACGCCCAGTTTCCAATTCCACCTCAATCCGTCTCCTAGGACGGCTCTGGGAGGTAACTTGATTAAAAGAAAAACATTTATTTGTTTTGAAAAACTTAAAGTTATGTGAAAGAATTTTAAGCAGGATTACATAGGTATTACGCCGTTTTTCAGCTATCGCTGAATTACCTTTTGTTGCTTTACTTCGATTTTCTATTTCGTGCTGACTTCTTTTATTTATCTTCGATATTTTTCAGGCACACGCGTGCGTACTGGTGCCGGTCAGGTAGCAAAAATCATGAAAAGTACTCAAAAAAGTACTTATACGGCATTTACATTCACACTGTTTCAAAATTCATCGATCTTTTTCAATTTCATTTTATTTGTCAAGTGTTGGCGAAATTTTCTGGGGTGGAATCCGATAGGATCTTATCTAAGTTTAGAAAACGAAAACGTGACGTCACGCTTCTTCTCTATTCACCACTGAGGAAAGGATAAAAATTATGTTTTTACATGTTTGAACACCCTCATAGATAATCTGATACGCCAAAGAATAGATGGGGAAATTGAACAGCTGAAAAGCAGCGTTCACCAAATTCTATCCGACCAACAACAAGAATTTGCTCAAGCGTTTGGGCTTCAAGATGATCATTCTTCCTCGGAGGTATGTAACACTGACAGGCTTTTTATAATAAATAAATAATAACACAAACTACCAGCACTGTCCAGCTTTACATTTGCATTGCACACTAAGTATATTAATACCTCTTTAGAGTGGCTTTCAGCACCTTTAGTTTTATTCAGATACTTATTAACCTACAGCCATAGCATTTAAGCCAAGCATGGTTGGGAATTCAAGAAAAGTCCACTTGCAAGCTGGGGAAGGGTTTCGTTTTGCACTTGGTTGAAAAATGCATGATAGAACTATTCACAAAGCGCCGGAAGAATGCAAAGCAAATAGTCGAAGAAAGATTAAAACTAATAGTGGAATAGCAGTTATATCATAAAATTATTTATATCCTTACAGGCGTCTACATCCCATGTTGTTCCCGGGGGTAACTTCTATGATGACTCAAGTTCAGGCGAGTTTTTAGTTCTTTTCTTTCGATACACATGCAAAATTTTCAACGGATTTTTTTGCACAGTCCCTCTCCAAGACATTTTTCTAAAGCTGTTCTGCTGAAAGATATAAGAGTGGGAGTTTATAGGTTGGCGTTGTGTGTTTGCGCAGTCATTTAACGAAGAAAATTTGAGAGAATTCTAGAGAATAACAACCATATGATTGTATTTGTTGACAGTTTTAATACAAGGCTATTTCGATTCAGAAACATTCGGAAAAGTGATTTACAACACCGTATACGTTAACAAGAATGAATTTGAAGCAGTGGGATTGTTTCAAACCATTAGAGTTGACTTCCCTGTTGGTGCTGTCATATGAAATTATCTCCAAGGCAATTTAACAATTATATAATTAAGATCAAGCAGACGCAAAGGATAAAAAAGTTGGAACTCGCATTTAAGTTTCACGCACCAAGCGACCATCACTCAGACTAAAAGGTTGTACAACAACAGATTTAAGTATTTATGATTTATCGTATTGAGCTTGTAATTAACTCCATTTGCTTAACCTGATTTTAGACGTAATGGAAGATAGCTCAGATTATGACACGGCAGTGATGAGACAGTAAGTGCTTGTGGCTTATAACTCTCTTTGCACTTCTTTAGCCGGCCAGTTGTGTCGTTTGTCCGAAGCTATGAAAACGGCAGGATTGTACAGGGCTACAAGGGTTACTAGTGACACCCTCAGCAGGATCTAGCTAGTACATGGAGTTAAACTGATTTTGCACTGTAGTTTTTAGGGAGTTATTATAACTACAAAAATGCAGTAAAAATTTTAGGTACAGGATAACCCCTTTTTTAACTCCTAATTTAACTCCGAATTTGGGGTCATTTTTACTCCTGAAAAAGAGTTCTTTTACTTCCAGTCTGGAGTTAAAACAACTCCGAAATGGGGTTACTTTTACTCCTCACATGGGTTGTTTTTACTCTTTTTGGAGTTAATTTAACTCTGAGAGTGGAGTAAACATTTTAGGCACAGGATGACTCCTTTTTGGGGGTTATTTTAACTCCTCAATATCTAGGATCACTCTTAATCCTGAAAAAGAGTTCTTTAAACTCCTTTTAGGAGTTAAAATAACTCCCCAAAAAATAACTCCACAGTAAGGATATAAATTTGCTCCACTAGAGGCGTTATTATAACTCCTCGAAAATTACTGTGTGTTGAATTCATTCATTTCAATTGCTTTTTAACAGGTATGACTACACTGAAACGCTCTGTTCAAACTGCAAGTCAGACTTAAGAAACACAAACACAATCCCACAAGAAGAAATCAGAGAAGACGAAGAGAAGATAGTTATGAATTACCTATTACGTTTGATGACGGCGTCTTCTGCGATGGGCAATACCTTGAAGCGAAAAGAATATAGAACTTGAAGAGCTTTATAAAAGACTGATTGGTGCGGTCATCCAAATACTGAACAGAATGTAAGAATCGTGAATAAAACACTGAGAACATAAAGAAATACTTTTTTGTTGCTACTAGTGTCGCTAATTGGGATAACATCAACCTGAAGATTATAAGAATTGACAGATTTCAATAAAGAGTGATAATTGTTTTATCAGTCTGACTTGGTGTTTTCCAATCTCTAATTGACTATAGAAAGCAGACTATCCTTGTATCAGGAGCCCAAGGTCAGACTGGGGTTGACCGGGAAACCCGTCCTAAAAATAAAAGGATCTAAAAGGCTCCAACTCAAAAACCTGGCCTCTAGACGCACTGACTAGGGGATACAAAACTAGGAAAGCCGCGGCTGGCCCCACCAGTACCGGAACTCAGAGAAGGGCTGTGCTTGACAATCCTCGACCAGGTTGACCGAGGAATGCCGCGACCACCTCAGCCAATTCCAGAAATCATTGATTTGTATAAGCCACGCTAGCCAGGGAATGGCCCGTGGCCGGCCACCCCGGCTAGTGACTTCTTTAATTCAGGACTAGCTTACAAAATAGACGTACCGGATCCTAAAAAAGGATCTTAAATGTAAGACCCTGAAGAAGGAAGGCCGTGCCTTCCAAAATATTGGTAAAAATATATTATATATTCCCGACTTTAAAATCAGCCTTGCTTCTTTTGTTTTATATTTTGACTTCTTTAATGCCGGAACGGATTTCATAGATCAGTTATCCAACGTATCAAGGAAAAGTTTTCCAAGTTTGCCTACTTGAACATTGAGTTTTGTCCCTCGGTACTGCGTTAAGTACTAACCCTTGTATGAAATAAAACCATTACTACCACCATGATCCCTTTGGCCGAGATCGATGCAACCCCTCCCGCCCCCCTAACCCCGCCCCAAACTGAGAGCATCAAGATTTTGGTGACTGTTACATGACCTAATGTTACAGTTGGTGACTGTTACATGACACCTCTTGTACCTAAGTCCGCATGAAGAGCGGTTTTGAGCTGTTAGGGAAACGGATCTATCTACAATGTAGTTTAATACTTCATCAGTTGATTGAAACTGGCTAAATGCCTTTGTTGGGAGCTGGGTGGTTATCGGGTTATGTTGTTACAACCTTTGCAGGGCTTTCAAGGGGGCTGAAATGGACAACAAGCACGAGTTACTTTGCTGCCAGAGTGCTTCGTGCAAGCTCCAGCTGTAAGTTGTTAACTTCAACCTCCTTTATCAGATTGCTACTCAGCCACACCGCCACATAACTATATAGAAATTTTATTTCTCCTTCTACGCACATCCACTTGTTGGCAATACCTGTAGTATGGAGTGACAGGCATGCGCATTGTTTATTCTAGGAATTGGCCAATAGGGCCACTGCCAAAGTCAGCTCCTTCTCAGATTGTACGCATGTATATAGAGGCTTTTCTTTTCAAGAAAGGGAGCCCAAGGGTTTTGAAACATTTTTGCATCACTCGGTTTGATATTAATTTTCCTTTTTGAGCTACACTTTACCAAAGTTTGATCGCTGAATTCCTCAGGAATTCCTCAAGTTCTGATCCTTTGATCTATGTAGTTATGTTAATTCCTTTCAAAATAGCTGTCATTTTCAAGAGTAACCCATTTATTTTCTTAAATAAGTCTTCTTTACATATAATGTAACCAAAGGTTATTTAATTGCTGTTATAACAGTTATTTACTAGAACTAATTTTTTTCCTTGCCTCATTGGCATACTGCACTCTTTGTTCCTTTACTTGTTCCCAGACTCTAGGACATTTCTGAAGGGGGCAAATCATTTTTTGGGTGGCCAAAATTCAAGACATTTTTTTGACACATTTGGAAGGTTTAGAATTGTTAATTACACTTACAGTGTACCTGGATTGGGGGGGGGGGGGGGGACCCCTGGGAATTTTTTGGGGGGGGGTGCTGCCCCGTTCCTCAAAACCTGACCCGGTTTCAAACCAAAAAATGTAATTTTCCCCCCCCTTTTCCCGCCCTGGCCTTTAAGCAAAAATTTTTTTTTCTTTATTTATAAGCCCTTTCAGCCCCACCAAAAAAATTTCAAATCCATTTTGAATTTGCCTTTTTTTTTTTTTTGTTTTCTCTTTTGGTTGTTTAGGACATTTCTGAAGGGGGCAAATCATTTTTTGGGTGGCCAAAATTCAAGACATTTTTTTGACACATTTGGAAGGTTTAGAATTGTTAATTACACTTACAGTGTACCTGGGTGGGGGGGGGGGGGTACTCCTGGGAATTCTTGGTGGGGTTGTGCTGCACCGTTCCTCAAATCCTGACCCGATTTCAGACCAAAAAATGTAATTTTCCACACCCGTTTCCAGACCTGGCCTTTAAGCAGAAATTATGTTATCATTACTTAATAGCCGTTACAGCGCAACCAAAAAAATTTCAAATCCATTTTGAATTTGCCTGTTTCTCTTTCTTGCTTACTCATTTGGAATTGAAATGATAAATACGTTCATACACTCTGTAGTTCCTTCGAAAACCATACCCGATTCCAGACCAAAATGGGCAGGCAAGGTGTATATCCATTTTCAGACCAAAGAGGCTCAAAAACCCCAACCGATGGGCAGCACATATATACCTATACGGCTTATATAAGGAAGTACCCTCCCCCCCCCCCGGGGGCAGTATACAGTGTATCTAAGGACCAAAAACAGTTTTAAAAAAGTTTGTGTCATAATTCTTTAAGCATATGCTGTTCACTTTGAATACTACTACTTGTTTCCTGATTTCTTTTACTAGCTGGACAGTTAGGTGGTGAAGCTGATAGAGCAATAGAAGATGTATCATCAAAGCCACCAAACATTCTCATATACAGTGGCAGCAGTGACAGTCATAACAAGACATTCAATGCTTTAAAACAGACACTTTTGCAAGTTATTAATATACATAGTTATGCCATCTACAAACTCCATGAGAAACATGTAAATACACATCCATGGATGGACAACACCACATTGTTAGTTCTTGGAAATAATGATTCAATGTCAGCATCAGTACAAAAGGACTTCATCAAGTACCTCACAGGTGGAGGAAAGATCTTAAGCTTGTGTAGTTCATTTACATGTA